GGGGGGGGGGGGGCACCAGGGATGTCAGGGCATGGAAGAAGACACCCCTGTGGGTACCACGCTGGGGAATAGGGCTGCAGGCTACAGAGTACTCCTAGGTGGATTTATGATTAGTTATGATAAGTTAGTATGTTTCATGATTGATTTGTTTATATACTTCCTTAATTAAAAAAAAAACTTTGTCTCTTTTTTTTGAGATAGGGTCTCACTCTGTCACCTGGAGTGCAGTGGTACGACTTGGCTCATTGCAACCTCCACTTCTGGGGTTCAAGCAATTATCGTGCCTCAGCCTCCTGAGCAGCTGGGACTACAGGTGCATGGCACGACGTCCGGCTAATTTTTGTATTTTTAGTAGAGATGGGGTTTCGCCATGTTGGCCAGGCCGGTCTCAAACTCCTGGCCTCAAGTGATCCTCCCGCCTCAACCTCCCAAAGTGTTGGGATTACAGGCATGAGCCACCGTGCCCAGGCAGAACTTTATCTTTTAAAGCTTTGCCAGAATGCTTACAGTGACTGTCCATTCTCCATCACACTTGTATGCTTACCTTTGTCCTCCACCCCTTACACGCTCTTACATGTATCAGAAGTACTATTCCTCTACACACTGGATTCTTGTATACTCTTAAATATCTCACATATTCTACCAAGGAATGTAATCTTTATAATATAACTAAGAGAAAGGATTTTGCAACCATACAGATCAGTCTATGTGAACAAAGTGTTCATGTCTATATACTTTAGTTTTCTCCTCTGCAGAACGACACTAATAGGGTTGTCATATATGATAACATTATTTATATAAAGCATTTATAATACATTTTAAAATGTTTTAAGCTCTCAATAAAAGTTGGCTAACTTTGTAACATACCTAAAAGAGTATTACACATAATTGCTATTTCATCATTTCAAGTTTTATTTCAGATTCGGGGATACATATGTGCGTTAGTTACATGGGAATGGTGCATGTTGCTGAGGGTCTGGGTGTGACTGGTCCCATCACCCACGTAGAGAGCACAGTACCCAATAGTTAAGTTTTTCAACCCTTGCTCCCTTCCCTCACCCCCTAGCAGTCCCCGTTGTCTACTGGGGACATCTTTATATCCATGAGTACACAATGTTTAGCTCTCGCATATAGGGTGTATTTTTTAAGGTACTAACAAGTGGAATTAGGCCTACCCTATTGCTTAGCTTGCCATGATTATTCAAATCCAAAGTTGACATAAATAGGACTTTAAGGCCGTGAACCAGGCTTGTTTAAGGAGTCACTCCTTCAAATTTAAGAAATGTTCCATTGTAATTTTTTAACAATAATAGGAAGTATGAATAGAAATCTGTACCTTTCTTGTGTTTTCAGCTAGAAACATTAATAATTTAGAAGTAGAAGGACATAGAATTCATTTGTTCAGTTGGTTGCACAGACTGAGACGGCACAAGACATTATAACACTGTGAGAAAAAAAAATTTATTTTGTTCTAGTATTAAAAAAAATTCACTGTCAATAAAAGATAAATATCATTTCCATAATTTAGAGTACAACCAAAGTACACAGACCATAAGAAATTATATCCAAAATTTTGATAGCAGCTGCCCACTGAAATAATATTTAATAGAAACTTTCAGTTATAATGATCAGTAAAACGAAAAGGTTTGGCTTCTGACATATATAGGTGGTGCTGTAACTGTTTAGAACGCTTGGCTTCTAGTCGGAGCTGTCTAGTTCTCTCTCTGACAGCTTGTTGCTCTGCTATTTTTTCTATCCGTTTCCTTCTTAGCCATCTGTAGAAAGAGGCATGATCAGATTTGGTGAGTATCAACCTGAATACACTCTTCATGCTATATAGTTACTACTATAGACAAAATAAATAGACATTTCTTTACAATGAAATACTGTCACAACACAAATTTTTAACTATTAATTGAAAAATGTAGATTACACCCAAGGCTCATACAAGAAAAGATAGTTAGATTTGGGGTCAAATGTTTGAAATTATCTGTCTTACGATGAACTGCCAACTTAATTGGTTTTTTAATAATAAACACTATTTTATGTGTGCGGTAGGTCCTATTCTTTTTTTAGAAATAGGATTTCTTACTATTTGGTAGATTCCAAATAACTTACACTTTGTAACTAGCTGTATTATAAAACATTACTTACCTAGGTTAAGAATACTGTCATGCAGAAATGCTGCCTTACTCTTCTTATAGGTAAATTATAGAGCTTTTAAGTCCATAAAATAGTTCTTAAAGTGAAAAATAAGCCAAACATGAAAACATCAAAAGTAGGAAAGGAGAAGTCCGCATTCTAACAAATTCAAGTCTTAAACCTTGTTTAAATAATAGCAAAAATAACTGCATATACACATATACCTGGTATATAAGTGTGTTTGTGGGGGGGGGGGGGTGGGGGGGTGTGTGTGTATATGTGTATATATATATGCACATACATATACCTGGGGTTTTTTTTTTTTTCAGAAATCTAAACAATAAGTGTATTAGAAAAAAAACTAAATATCATAATCTGATGATATGTGGTTCTGAATTGGCTACTAGTTTAAGCAAATAAACTGTAACTCATTTATGGGTCTGTTGGGGAATAAATGGATATGAGTTGGATATTAGGTAATATTGTCAATGAAAAGCAGATTGCAGAATAACATATATAGTATGATCTCAGTATTTTGATATTGAAAATATATGTACAGAGAGATACTTAGACAGTATGCACACTGGTGCTAACAGTCACAATTTCTGGGTGATGAAAAAGTAACTTGAAACTGCTCCATTTTTACAATGCACATTTACTGTTTCTGTTATAATAAAAGGGTATGTTAGAAAAAGAAAAAGGAGGCTGGGCATGGTGGCTCACGCCTGTAATCCCAGCACTTTGGGAGACCAAGGTGGGCAGATCACTTGAGGTCTGGAGTTTGAGACCAGCCTGAGCAACATGGTGAGACCCCATCTCTACTAAAAAAAATACAAAAATTAGCCAGGTGTGGTGGTGCACACCTGTGGTCCCAGCTACTTGGGAGGCTGAGGTGGGAGAACCACTTGAACCTGGGAGGGTGAGGTTGCACTGAGCTGAGATCGTGCCACTGCACTCCAGCCTGGGTGACAGGAAAAAAAAAAAAAGAAAGAAAGAAAAAGGAAGGAAGAGAAAAAGAAAAGAAGGAAAGAGCAAAAGAGACGAAAGAAGGAAATGAACTTCAAACAATTGGACTCAATATTCACATTTTGTCCCCCAACTCTCCCCACGCTTGCTAGCAAAAATATGAAGCCACATCTGTATTGTCAGAATTAGGCAATGCAGTATCTTACCCAAATAACTAAAAAAAAATCAGGTTTGCCTTAAATTACCAAAATATGTACCCAGATCTCCTTTGGTCTATACAGATTTTGCTCCTTAGTCCACCTTTCTTTTACTGGTAAATGCAACTTTTATTGGTTGCATTTATTGGTAAATACAGTGCATTTATTGGTTGCATTTATTGACAAATTCAGTTTTTCTGAGGGCTATGTAAGAGAAGCGTAACCAATCTTTGACCCATTTCTCACAGAAATAAACAAACAATAAATGATAAGGTATCAAAGGCTATCTTACTGGTGTCATAAGAAATAATTTAAGTATTGAAAAGTATCTTGAAGAAAAATTGGTATGCATATATATAAAATACTCCATATATGTAATATATATAATGGAGTTAAAGAATTATACATTTGTAAAGGCATGAATTTAAAACTGAATAGGTACTTGCTGTAAGAGAAAACATTTTGAGGGTTTTTTTTTTCAATCTTAATTTATCACATAACTTTTCAAATGACCATGAGGAAGGAGGAGGGGGGAAATGCCCTGCCTTTAACTTACTGTTTAAAGGCCCTTTCCCGGCCTTCTGTTCCTTTAAGGAAGAATAAGCATTCCTCTTGCTTTCTTAGTTCTTCTGTCTTTCTTTCTTTCATCTGCTCTTCGTGCTTTTTTTTAAGCCATAATCGAAAAGCTTGTTGTGGATCTCTGTTTTCCTGCTGATTAGAAAAATAAGCTTTACTTAGTTTAGATAAACAAGAACTACATTTTGAAGCCCTGCTTATAGGATCCTACAAGAATATATTTCCTACTCTTCAATTTTTCATAATAATGTCAGCCTCATTACCTGCATTCCTAGTATCCAAACCAAATACATCATGGTTAAGTTTTAAGAATATCTTTCAGAAGTTACTTAACTGCTAAGCCCATTTTTCAACACTGTAGTTCCTATTGTAAAGGGTAGCCATAAGGATTTTCAGTCATAAGAATTTTCTTATAAAGATAACAGCCATGATAATTTTAACATAAGAAAAAGCTAGTAGGAGTGGCTTATTTCGTGCTCCCTCAAAGTTCATGATGAATATTATCTTCAGGGAATTTTCAAAAGTTGAAAGAGCTCTTATTTGGAGGAATAAAGAAGAAAAAGAGGACAGATTTGGTACTCTTTGCCCTTGGGAAAAGTGTGACCTCATGTGGATTCCTGGCTAGAATGCAAAAGGAAAAGATACATTCATTTAATACTTCCCCCAAATATAAGCTTTGTGATCGAGCTTATATCTTGCATTTCCCTCATCTGTTTCCTGTATCTTGCATTTTTCCCTTGTTTGTAACCCACATTGCCAAATATGCTTTAGTCTAATTTAGAAGATTATTCAGGATCTTTGATGCACAACTGAACTTTGTGGAGAGGACCCCTGGATCTAAAGAATCATTGCCAAACACCTGGAAGTCTGGGAATTGCTAGAAATGACAGAAAAGTGTTCAATCAGGGGTTATAGATCAAAAGAGTCCAGATACAAAGTAACAGGAGGAATAAGTTCTGGTGTTCTATTACAGAGTAGACTACAGTTTGTAACTACAGTTAACAATAATGTATATTTCAAAATAATGAGGAGAAGATTTTTGAATGTTCTCATCGTAAAGAAATGACAAGTGTTTGAGGTAATATGCTAATTACACAATGTGTACATGTATCAAAACATCACACTGTACTCCATAAATAAGTAAAATTATGTGTCAATTAAATACAATTTTAAAGTTAAAATATTTTTAAAGAGTCAAGGATTCAGGGAGCAACAGGATACATAGGTATCCCCATTCTTTTGTTCTTTCAACAGATATTCATACTATTTACTACATAATAGGCACTAAAGTACTAGGTTGCATTAATAAAATTAAGGTTCCCTCTCTCACACATTCTGTACTGTACAATACAGTAACCACAAGTCATAAGTGGCTATTTAAATAAAATTTAAAATTCAGTTTCCCAGTAATACTAGCTACATTTCAAGTGCTTAACAGACACACATGGCTAAGCAGGTACTCTAATGGACAGTGCAAATACAGAAAATTTCCATCATCCCAGAAAGGTCTATTGGACAATGTTCTGCACAGATAGGATAAAAATAAGTGACAGACTGATTGACTGATCTGATTCAAAAGAAAATATAGGAAGGAGAGTAATAAAGGCAGCAGTGGGGAGAAAGGATGGTATTTAAATAGAAAGTGAGGGAGGAAGTTATGGGATATCTGGAGAAAAGCAGTGGTAACAATAAGAGCAAAGGAGCTAAGAAGGGATTGTGTTTGGCATGATCAATAAATAGCAAAGAAGTCAAAGTGAAGCTGTAGCAAAGTAGCTGAAGAGTGGAAGATGAAGTCAGGGAAGTAGCAGGGATCAGGTAACATATAACCTTGCTGGCCATGGAACTTTGGGTTTCATTTTGAGATGAGAAGCCATTGGGGGTTTCTGAGCATAAGTGACACAGTTTATTCACCACTTTAGAAATATCATTCCGGCTGCTATGTGGAAAACAGACTGAATGAGGGAGAGGCAAGGTAGAAGGGGGCTGGGTTTTTAGGCTTTTGTTAACAGTCCAGCAACAGAAGAAAATAGTGGTTTAGATTAGGGTAGTGGGACTCTGTATATGCACTGAAGATAGAACCAACATAGTTTGCTCAAAAATTAAATGGATAGTTTTATGTCATGCTTTAAATGATTATTTTTAAAATTATTCCAGGTTTATTAGTATAATAAAAATTCAAGAAAATGTATTTTTAAAATTTAAGGTAAATTACAGCAGAACTATCATCAAAATGATAGACTGCATTGGTACGCAAAGATGTCACTGCATAAGATCATAGCAAATAACTCTCAAAAGTGGAGGGAACCAAAATAAAAAATTAGAGGAAAATAAAAAATTATAAAGATAAAATATGAATTATACAAAAAATTAGTGATGGATTAAATTATCTGATTATAAAAAAAGGATAAATGACTGAATTGGAGACTTTTGCATCCATCCATGATGGAGTAATTGGTATCAGATTTACCCTTCTGCCCTAATTAGCCATAAAGCTAGACAAAATGTATACAGCAGCTTGATTACTGAGAGTAAGAAAAAACATGCTATAACCCCCATATTCACCCTGGCTCTGAACTTGGTGACACTTTCCAGACAATAGTATAGGAAGGAGGAGCCATAGCATCAAGCAGTCATTAGTCCCACTGGGCTTATGAAACAGAGATAGGAGTCTGGGGCTGCTGAGACAGCTGAATTTCCAGGGCAGGGTACTAGAAAGGAAGCAGTCATGTGGAGGGATGGTCCAAAAGTCTATGTAGGGGTTTCCCTTGGGCCTTGGCAAGGCCTGGGGTGCACATGTGTAGAGGGAGGCTCTGTAAGGTCTAACAGAGAGTGGCCGCTGTTAATGAAAAAGATTACAAAGGTTGCATAGTTTTGGAGACATTGGAGTTCCAATCCAATTATAGTGGGAATACTTCATTGCTTACCTTGGTCAACCACTTACAACCCTAAAAAGGCCATGCTTTGGAAGTATGGATCACATCCTAGAGTAAGGACCATGCTCTAGGACTAAGGACAAAAACAAACTAAACCCATCCTAACAAAGCATAAAACAAAATCTGACAGGATCAAGAGGATTCCTTACTAATTTAACTGCCTACCAGAAAAAAATTCAATACCCTTTAAAGGAAAACAGTGTATTCTAGATTTCCTTACAACTTTTTTATTGGGTAAAGATCCACAGTCTACTAACCAATTTTTAAAAATCACTGGCTATCTAAAGAAACAAGAAAACGTGACCCATAATCCAGAGAAAGAGGCCTTCAATAGTAACAGATTGATCCTAACATGACATGGATATTGGCATTTAGATACAAACAGGTCTAATATTTAAGAAATGGAAAGATGAATATAAAACAGGTCTAATATGTAAGAAATGAAAAGGTGGATATAATGAATAAACAGAGAATCTCAGTAAAGAAACGGAAACTTAAAAAAATAAACTGATAGGAGGATCCAAGATGGCCGAATAGGAACAGCTCCACTCTACAGCTCCCAGCATAAGTGATGCAGAAACCGGGTGATTTCTGCATTTCTAACTGAAGTACTGGGTTCATCTCACTGGGGCTTGACAGACAGTGGGTGCAGCCCACAAAGCAGGGCAGGGCAATGCCTCACCCAAGAAGCTCAAGGGGTCGGGGAATTCCCTTTCCTAGCCAAGGGAAGCTATGACAGATGATACCTGGAAAATCGGGACACTCCCACCCTAATACTGCACTTTTCCAATGGTCTTAGCAAACGGCACACCAGGAGATTATATCCCACACCTGGCTTGGAGGGTCCCACACCCACGAAACCTCGCTTACTGCTAACACAGTAGTCTGAGATCAAACGGCAAGGCCGCAGCAAGGCTAGGGGAGGGATGTCTGCAATTGCTGAGGCTTGAATAGGTAAACAAAGGAGCCAGGAAGCTCGAACTGGGAGGAGCCCACCACAGCTCAAGGAGGCCTGCCTGCCTCTGTAGACTCCACCTCTGGGGGCAGGGCATAGCTGAACAAAAGGCAGCAGAAACTTCTGCAGACTTAAATGTCCCTGTCTGACAGCTTTGAAGAGAGTAGTGGTTTTCCTAGCATGGAGTTTGAGATCTGAGAATGGACAGACTGTCTCCTCAAGTGGGTCCCTGACACCCGAGTAGCCTAACTTGGGGACAGCTCCCAGTAGGGGCCAACTGACACGTCATACAGCTGGATGCCCCTCTGAGATGAAGCTTCCAGAGGAAGGATCAGCCAGCAACATTTGCCATTCTGCAATGTTTACTGTTCTGCAGCTTCCGCTGGTGATACCCAAGCAAACAGCGTCTGGAGTGAACCTCCAGCAAACTCCACTATACCTGCAGGTGAGGGTCCTGTTAGAAGGAAAACTAAAAAACTGAAAGAACATGCACACCAAAACCCCATCTGTGCGTCACCATCATCAAAGACCAAAGGTAGATAAAACCACAAAGATGGGGAGAAACCAGAGCAGAAAAGCTGAAAATTCGAAAAATCAGACTGCCTCTTCTCCTCCAAAGGAACGTGGCTCCTCCCCAGCAACGGAACAAAGTTGGATGGAGAATGACTTTGACGAGTTGAGAGAAGAGGCTTCAGACAATCGGTAATAACAAACTTCTGCAAGCTAAAGAAGGATGTTTGAAACCATCGCAAAGAAGCTAAAAACCTTGAAAAAAGATTAGAAGAATGGCTAACTAGCATAAACAGTTAGAGAAAACCTTAAATGACCTGACGGAGCTGAAAACCATGGCACAAAAACTATGTGACGCATGCACAAGCTTCAGTAGCCAATTTCATCCAGTAGTAGATAGGGTATCAGTGATTGAAGATCAAATGAATGAAATGAACCGACAAGAGAAGTTTAGAGAAAAAAGAGTAAAACGAAACGAACAAAGCCTCCAAGAAATATGGGACTATGTGAAAAGACAACATCTACGTCTAATTGGTATACCTGAAAGTGACGGGAGAATGGAACCAAGTTGGAAAACACTCTTCAGGATATTATTCAGGAGAACTTCCCCAACCTAGCAAGGCAGGCCAACATTCAAATTCAGGAAATACAGAGAATACCATAAAGACACTCCTCGAGAAGAGCAACTCCAAGACACATAATTGTCAGATTCACCAAACTTGAAATGAAGGAGAAAA